CCCTGTGTTTCTAATGGCGACGGGGAGCGTCATTAACACTTCTAACACTGCACAGTTGACATGATACACCAGCCCTGTGTTTCTAATGGCGACGGGGAGCGTCATTAACACTTCTAACACTGTACAGTAGACATGATACACCAGCCCAGTGTTTCTCATGGCGTTAGGCAGCGTCATTAACACTTCTAACACTCTAAAAAGACATGATACACCAGCCCTGTATTTCTAATGGCGGCGGGAAGCGTCATTACCACTTCCAACACTGTACTGTAGATATGATACACGAGCCTTGTGTTTCTAATGGCGTTGGGAAGCGTCATTAACACTTTTAGCACTGTACAGTAGACATGATACACCAGCCCTGTGTTTCTAATGGCAGCGGGAAGCGTCATTAACACTTCTAACAATACACAGTAGACATGATACACCAGCCCTGTGTTTCTAATGGCAGCGGGAAGCGTCATTAACACTTTTAATGGCAGTTGTCCCATGGAGAATTAGGATATAGACACACAAAATTTGTTTTACACTAGGCCTAGTTGCATAGAATTTGGAGTTGATTTGGTTTGCCATTTATATAGACAATTTGCTAAAAGGTGACATTTATCACCAAATACATTGAGCTTAAAAGCGCCCGAATAGTACGAATAATTAATTTAACACTGGAATACAGTCGTAGGCGTAGATGTCAGTAGTTGTGTCACCAAACCAGAACGAACGTTTTTATGTGTGTAGGGAAGTTGTCGAATGAAAAACGTTCCACTCATGCGCAGTTCTTTATTACGGTCGAAGCCGAACGCTGTCTGCAGATCAGTATTTTCTTACACAGACAACACAGTGGCAGTGGAACCCCCCTTGTCGAAACATTAAAGTGTAAAAATATTTTGAAGCATTAATGAAAATATTATCAATTGATTATTAATCCAACCTTAAACTGATAAAGGTGCCTGACATATCTGTGAAAGGTATCTTTGTACGACACGCGAAGCTAGTGAGTGAGTGCGTATGCTTTTAGCATTATTCAAGCAATATCACGGCGAAGCAAGCGAAGTAACAAGAATCTGTGACAAGTCATAGACGGAATTGATCAGCAAATATCCTTCCGCCGCACATGTGGTGGGTGAATTGGTTTTAACGCCGCTTTGAACATTATTCTAGTTATATCACGGTGTGTCAGCTAAATGTGGGAGGAAAGCCCTAAGTGATGCAGGTCTCAGACGTCTACCTCTTCGGTGAAACCCACGAGCACGGGTATGGTGCTGACAAACCTAGAAACATGATCGGGACGAACAGGGATTCGAACCCACAATTGCGGCGCCCTATAGACGACTGGGCCACCCGTGTACTGCCGCCCGGGACAGACAGACAGACAGACAGACAGACAGACACGGTTGACCAAGTCGTTTTAGGCGGCACAATTCGCCGTGCAGAGTTGTGTGCCCTAGGCGTGCAAGAAATCTATAATCGAATCCCAGCACTGTGCAATATTTCGTATTTTCCTCCTACATAAAGCTGACACACCGTGGTGTAACCAACATACTGTTAAAAGCGGCGCAAAATAATAGTCATTCAGGATATCCTTTTTGACGATCCTTTATTGATAAATTACTAGTATATCAGATAACTAACAATCTTTAAACCCACAGATTTAGTTCCTACTTATCGGAATTAAGTATGCACATGTGTTATTGCTGTGACTGAGTTAAATACCTGGGCGCAGCCATCTACAATCAAATTTCATGTTCAGTAAAAATTTTGAAAAGAAGCAATACGAAATGTAACAGCGACAAGGCAACACGTACTTCATCACTTTGTCAGCGGCCGACATGTTTTACAAATACAACATTCAAAATGGTGGCTACCGTCGCGATAGCTTCGATGCTATGTTTGCTTGTGATAAGGTTGAGGAACTGGTCAGTAGTTCTGGTAATTTTCCGATCAAAACACAAACATGAGTTCATGGTCTGATGGTTCTTAACAAACCAAAATGATGTCTCAGGGCAAGGGCTAGGCAAGTTGGACTCAACCAGTTTAAATATATGTTCCCATGGTAAAGGGAGAAGAGTAGGCTTGCAGTCAATAGATCGAGTCGTTACAGTCAATAGATCGAGTCGTTACAGTTAATGATGTCATGAGCATCGATCCATGCTGAAGACATACTTAATTCGTAGGGCACGAACGCCCGAATCGAACAATTTTGTGACTGTTGTCGCATGGTTGGTTTGGTTCGTTTGTTGTTAAACGCCGCGCTCAGCAATATTCCAGCTAAATGACGGCAGTCTGTAAATAATCGAGTCTGGACCAGACAATCCAGTGATTAATATCATGAACATCGATCCATGCAATTGGGATCGATGACATGCATCAACCAAGTAACGGAGCCTGACCACCCGGCCTCGCTTCTTACGACAAGCATAGTCGCCTCTTACGCCAAGCATGGGTTGCTCGAGACCTTATTCTACTCCGGATCTTCACGCGGAAACAATGCTTTGTTTTGCAGGATAAAGTATAGTCGGTGCCTTTGATCTTTTAGCGAAGCATCTTAGAATAAAAATAAAGACATATTTTACGCACGACGAGGAGGTAGATTTCTTTAAGCAATGAATTAGACTTATTTTTTAGGACGTAAATGGTGGGTAAGTTTTCAGTTTGTACTTCAGAATTTTGTTAGAAAATTAAATGTCACAGACATTGTAAATATAGTAAGATTTATGTACAACAGAATACATTTTGAAGGTATCAGGTGCTTGCTTCACACAATGTTAACACCCAAACGTTTGTTTAGCCTGTCACCGGGGATAAACAAACGTCTGCATGTAAACATTCATACCTCGTTTCAACTGCAAAGCTTGTTTGTTCTATTTAAATCAGTAATACATCCCCACTACAGACCAGGGCCAAATGTATCAGCCTCATTATTTTTACACTCAGCTTTGTTCTAATCCGGAATATCTTATGTGGAACAAATGTATTTTTGCAGGGCACCAACATTGGTTTTTGAAGGATTGCAAAGAAAATGTAGAATATATAAGGGCAAATGTGCACGATTCTCATTGTATTATGTCTAAGTTAGAACGGACGTTAAATGCGAAAACAATTTGGCGCTTGTCACACTGGCAATCGGCTTTTCAGTCTTAATTACTTAATAGGGCCACGTGTTTATACCCTTCTTTACACAAACAAACACTGTATCAAACATCTTGTAGTGCCGGCGACAGATGACGTGTTGGGTGTACTGCCGCCATTGCTCGGAATGCTGAATTATGACAGTGTTGCAAAGAGTTTTCCTGACACTGAATAACCACTGTGTTGCACACGCGCTGAGTCATGTAGACCTGTTGCACTTTTACATTCATTGCATCATCATGAAAAGTTTATAACTGAAATATTATTCTGTAGCATTTCGTATATCGACGTTTGTAATACTGTATAGCCCGAGACACCAATCGTCGTAAAATGCACCAGTTTCAGAGTCTAGTTAAGAGAGTATTTGTATCGGGGAGGATGGGGACTAAAACATCAAGCAAAGTCACTCGGAACACAAATAATTTACGATAGGTCGCAGCACTCTACATTTAGTAGCCTGTTATCATCAATTGGCAAAAAGCAATATGGATACAGAGAAACCATCAAGAAAGTTGTCGATTTGACGATGTATCCACAGACATTGAAATGCACGAAAAATATTTTTTCCTCAAGAATTTCACTGGTGGGCGTCATATCCTGGTCAAAATATAGTTATAACGATGTGCATTGATTCTCACTGACAACAAATACCTGAGTATAATTTAAATATACAGTAATAACATAGCAGGCAATGAAAATTAGAAAACAATGTTCAGTATTTGATCTGTATGTAATATGTAGATTTGCTATGCACAGTATTGATACTCAAACAACAACTTGTTATTGTTATTGATATTGTTCAACAACGCGCCAACTTGCGGGGACCGTTCCATTGTCATAAAAATTCAACCCACAACTAAAGAAGTCAGACTAAAATAATAATCATTCCATAATTGGGAATTAAGAGTAGGTAGCTGATGAAATACCATGTTGTAATGTTCCAATATGATAAATGCACATATTCTGTGTTTCAGTTTATTTGAGATCTGGTCTTTCTTCTGTGTACAGCAATATAAACTCACATGTTTAGTACTTAGTCCTCATAATTGTAACATATAAAACCCTTAAAACGACATATGTTTACTAGCCTAGTCGTTATGATATCTGAACTATTGGGATGTTTGGCAAGGACTATAGGACGAGTGCCAATTTCTATCGCTGGTGGAGTAATGTTCATTTATGTTGTGTGGTGTATGATTATATTATTATGACAACAAAATAACAATCTATTCAGTTTCTGCAACTTCAACCAAGAGAAGAGATATATCTCAGCAGGTAGCACAGAGGCAGTGTGCAGCTTAGGTTTATTCAGGGAGTGTTTTTCCAGCAATCTAAACCTAATAAATATAAGCGATTTTCAAAATTTGTCATTCACCATGCTACGGTATATTAATCAGGGTTAGAAACTAACAGTTTTTGTCCACTAGTCCTTATAATGATAACATATAGCCAAACCCTTAAAATGGGTCAATTTCTGCTACTCCTTAGAATACCTTTACCATTGGGCAGTTTGGTAAGGACTACAGGACTAGTGCCGATTTCTAACGCTGTTAACAATACCTCTACTACAGCAAATGTATTATAAATCAAGTTTATCAGTGAATAAATTTGAAAGTCACACATTTATTGAAGGAAAAAGCTTTTCGTAGGCCAGTAGCTGTAATGTTTACTTGCAATATATAGTTTTCTGAACAGCATATATGGGGGTGGTGTGTAGCCTAGTGGGTAAAGCATTCGCTATTCACGAGGTAGATTCCCTTGCATGGCTACAATGTGTGAAGCCCATGTCTAGTGTTCCCCGCCCAGATATTGCTGGAATATTGCTAAGAACCTGTAAAACCCAACCCAACTGAACAGTATATGTTGTGTTTCAGCCTCGAGCGACCCGAGTCACGGAGAAAGGGCTGCACAGATGACGACAGTGACGACCCATGGTAGGTGGGAGAACCCAGCAGGTGGTAGATACTGTCACTGTCCAACTTTGTAAGAGATGAGGTCACATCAACAGTTCACTCCAAAAACCTCCATATGAACAGTCTCTACAATAACAAGCTGATAAATGTAGTCTCTTATTATCCTGATAATTTGAAACAAGTCAATTGTATTGGCAGTACCACCTTAAGGCTCAATCCAACACAGACGCGCGGCTCAGATGAACAGCAATCTCAATGTTTGTGTTGTATATTCATGATAGTCGTTTGAGTGATTTATTAGTTGCTAGATTACCTTATAATTATTCCTCTACTAAGATGAATGGTTTTGAAATTGTATTCATCAGTCAAAATTTTAAAATCCTAAACTTTGTGGAATATCTGGTATGTATAATGCTTATTTAGTTTGTATTGTTTTCTGAACAGCATGTTCTGTGTTTCAGCCTCGAGCGACCAGAGTCGGACCACGAGGACACCAGTGACGACCACAAAAAAGCCTGCTACACAGGGTAGGTGTGAGAACCCAGCAGGTAGAAAGCCCACACTTTAATCCCCCCAACAATTAACAAGCTGGGGTTTAGACCCGTGGGCGTTCTGACTTGCTTCTTGCATGTAATCGTATCCCAGTTATGTCGATCGGTGCTCATGTTGTCAACCACTGGATTGTCTGTCTTTATCAGACTCTGCCATCTTATTGCAAACAAACAGACTGACAAACTCCAATGTCATGTCTTATAAGATCTATCTAATATTTGATTACATGAACCAGCTGTCGTCCTTCCCCTTGATCGTTGTGTTGTCAGCCATGTTGGAAGTGGTTGATGACGTACCGTGTCACGTGTCACCACGTTGAGGTGTGAACCATGTAGATGTATGACGAAGATGTCTGGAAGTGTAGAGAGTTTACTTTGTGTTACAGCGACTCCATCACCAGCAGACTGCGAGGACCTCCATAATGCCAGCGGGGACGGGGACCTGGAGGAGGTGAAGCGGGTCCTGTCGCGGGGCGTCGACGTCAATTGTAGGGTAGGGGGAAGCAGGACACCGGTGGAGTTTGTGCTGTCTCTGAACGTGGTGGACATCGACAGTAGAGGAGGAGGGAGCTGGACACCGGTGATGAGGGCAGCATACAGGGGACACAGAGACGTGGTGGAGCTCCTGGTGAATAAAGGGGCCGATGTGTCACTGGTGGACAAGGACGGTGACAACATCCTTCACCTCGCCTGTATTAGAGGACACTTGGAGATAGTGAAGTTTGTGCTGTCTCTGAACGTGGTGGACATCAACAGTAGAGGAGGAGGGAGCTGGACACCGGTGATGAGGGCAACAAACAGGGGACACAGATACGTGGTGGAGCTCCTGGTGAGTAAAGGGGCCGATGTGTCACTGGTGGACGGGGACGGTAACAACATCCTTCACCTCGCCTGTAGTCAGGGACACTTGGAGACGGTGGAGTTTGTGCTGTCTCTGAACGTGGTGGACATCAACAGTAGAGGAGGGTGGAGCCTGACACCGGTGATGAGGGCAGCACGGAATGGACACACAGACGTGGTGGAGCTCCTGGTGAGTAAAGGGGCCGATGTGTCACTGGTGGACGAGGACGGTTACAACATCCTTCACCTCGCCTGTATTGAGGGACACTTGGAGACGGTGGAGTTTGTGCTGTCTCTGAACGTGGTGGACATCGACGCCAGAAACAACGACGGGGAGACGGCGGCCGACATGGCGAGATCCTGGGGACATACGCGAGTGGCGAATCTCCTCGTGTCCCGCGGCGCTCAGTGACGTCAGTGTTGTGTTTGTGTAGACGGTGGGGGTGATGTGACATTGACGTGGTGTGCCGTTCACATCGTCGTGTGTAGATATGTCTTTATTTGCGTGAAACTGTTTGTTGTTTTTGGAAATGAATAAAACTTGTAAAACGTTTGTGAGACATGTTGTCATTTGTTGTGTTTGGAACTTTGCATCATCAGGTAAGAGAATTGTTAACTGAGTGTAAATAGAGATGATGTGTGATTAGTATGTAAGCACCGCACCTCGTGATATGTTTGTGCATGTCGTCATATATTTCTGTGTTAGTTTTGCGCCATAAGTTTATAATTAATCGTGAAAAACACAAAAAAACCATGTTTGTTTACATCTCGCTGCACTCGGTGACCTCAGACCGAGCCGAGGTTCGCCCAGCTGACGTGGTGCCAAATGTACAATGGCAGTGACGTCATACTGTCCATGACGTCACGGCATTCCAGCTTAGGGTAAACACTGAAGCTGCTGGCAGTTTTCTCTGCTAAATACGATATATCGGTAATTCCCAGGGCGACACAATGCTGGCTTCACGGCATATGCAAGTACAGCACAGGCCTCATGTGGGCGATATAGTTTAACAAAGAAAAAGTATACATCTGTTTCTATAGAGATGGGTTGCATATTATTGCTGCTAAAATTTAAAAAGAAATATTTCTGATTGGCGAGATATTTATTTTCTCTCTCCCATTTCACCATTTCAATCAAGCTACTTCCCAGCGCGTGACACCTTCTTTACACTCTCGTCTCACGACTGACCAGATTCCCAGATGAATTCAGAGCTGTAGATAGGGTTTTGGTTATTTGTTGTTTTTCACCCAGGGGCAGGATGCCAGAGGGACATATATGTCCCTCCTTTTCAAACCTCACTTGGAAGTCGAATAAAATTCAAAATACATCAGACACGCAGATACACTTCACAGTTTTGTATACTCTGAGAAATTTCCTGTTCTGTGATATCATCCACTGGCATCTTAGTGATCACAGGTATCTGTCTTTTGTCAAACCACCACAGATCAATCCAAAACGTCGCTGATAACCCTAGAATCGTTTAGAATGTTTTGGAAAATACGCAAACACGAACTCCGAAGTGAACTTTCCGCCATAATAGATAGACTTAGTGTTTACAAAGTCACGTTTCACGTGTGCCGGTAATGAGACGCCTGTAAAATTACGCGTATTTCAAACTCAGCTGCGATACATGCATCCTTGAATTCCTCATACATTTTGGAATCAATTGACACATGGTCTCTGTCACCTATAAAAAGTGCCTAGATAAAATCAAGCAAAAAAAGATAGGTGTGAAAACGAACGCTGCCTCGAAAAACTGCACTTTTTACAGTGTTACCATATACAGATTTTACAGTGTAGCATTTTCGCCTATTTTTAGCTATCCATTCGACTATTCGTTCAGAATATGCATGGGGAGAGAATCATAGGAAGAATTAGGGAATTAAAAATAGATACATTGTTATGATTCGATATTTTCAACAGAAATTGTCAAAGCTACCGTCCTGTGTGACGCCATGACTGACGCAAAATCACGCACAACGATAACAGTATTTATCGGAATTTCTGACTATTTCCGTTTGTTTCAATAAAAACATTACAACAAATAACAGTAAACAGATTGTCAGAATGTTTCTGATTACTTACATGTCATATGTATGTATATACGATCCGTGAATCAACGAACGTCACCGCGTACAATCCCGCGTACTGTTGACAATGAACACGTCATTTTGCAAAAGTCAGTCACCGGTAGTGAGGTCATAAGTCAAAATTGTTGTACATGTTTCGCAATTTCTTCAAGGTGAAAGTCCTTGAATGAAAGCACACACGATCATTGTATCCTGCTGTTTACAGTTTCAAGTGTGATGTAGATTTTGCATATCTCTTATACATATTACATATTAATTTCACTTGGGATATTTGTCAGTGTTCAATATGATATCATACGTAAACATAGGCCACAACATGTATGAATGAACCTTCGATAATCTCGTGTTTGGTTGAACATTGTTTATATAAGAAATTGATAAGTTTATAGTGTCTTATACGTTATTTCTTTCTTCACTTTATCACCGGGGCGGTCAGGTAGCCAAGTGGTTAAAGCGTTCGCTCGTCACGCCGAAAACCCGGGTTCGAATCCCGACATGGGTACAATGTGTGAAGCCCATTTCTGGTGTCCCCCGCCGTGATATTTCTGGAATATTGCTAAAAGCGGCGTAAAACCAAACTCACTCACTCACTATTATGGCATGCATCAGCCAAGTCAGCGAGCCTGACAACCCGATCCAGTTATTCGTCTGTTAGGTCATGCATAGCTTGACGACCTATTCTCGCCCGGATCTTCACGGGTCCTACAAGGATACCCAAGACCTATCTGCTTGTGTAGCCTCGTTTTGGGAAGTGACGTCACCACATCCATATGTCTTTATATAAAAGTAATTCCCACACAATTTCTCCCGCAAATACGTGTATACTAAATTGAGGTATATTTTGCATCAGACTCCAGTGGGTCCAGGGTATTTACCATAACTCAAAGGAAATATCACCCTGGAGCAGGGAGGATGAGCCGATGCTGAAGTGATCATGTACAATGCCCATTTTCTTTGTGACTGACAACATGTGTGCCTCCTCAATTGTGGCTAATGGTCAAGATTGTCCAGTGTATTTTTTTGCCATTCTAATATTATTGAGATTGAGATTGTGTGTTGTTTAACGCCGCACTCAGCAATATTACAGACAATCCAGTGATTGACATCATGAGCATCGATCTACTCAATTTGGATACGATGACATGCATCAACCAAGTCAGCGAGCCTGACCACCCGATCCCGTTAGTTGCCTCTATACCACAACCATTGGTTGCTGAAGACCAATTCTAACCCGGATCTTCATGGGTTTTATTCTAATATGATTGGTACATATCCTGGACCTGTTTGAAATCTCTTCTTCGTGGCGGACGTGACGTCACCATCTCCGTCTCTCGCTCATGAGTGAGTTTGTTTGTTGTTTAACGCCGCACGCAGCAATATTCCAGCTATATGACGGCGGTCTGTAAGTAATCGAGTCTGGACCAGACAATCCAGTGATTAATATCATGAGCATCGATCCACGCAATTGGGATCGACGACATGCATCAACCAAGTCAGCGATCCCGTTAGTCGCCTTTTACGACAAGCATAGTCGCCTTTTACGGCAAGCATGGGTTGCCGAAGACCTATTCTACCCCGGATCTTCACGGGTCAGTTTGTTTTAAGGCCGCTCAGCGAATTGCTGCGCCTCAGTTGACTGGTGCCCCGCTCTCGCTCATAAATAGTTATTTGACTGGCTGGCTATTTGAAGCGCCCTCCTATCCAAACCCGGATGAAATCGAAGCTATGGGTTCAGGGTACTTATTTACCATAACAAAGTGAAGATAGTTTACACTGAATAATCACCACAATGCTTTTTTGTTTTGGTTTGTTTGTTTGTTTGTTTGTTTAACGCCGCACTCAGCAATATTCCACCTACATGACGGTGGTCTGTAAACAAACGAGTCTGGACTAACCAATCCAGCGACTGACATTATGAGCATCGATCTGCGCAATTGGGAAACGATGACATGCATCAACCAAGTCAGCGAGCCTGACCACCCGATCCCGTTAGTCGCTTCTTACAAGCATAGTCGTCTTTTACGATAAGCATGGGTTGCTGAAGACCTGTTCTTCTCCGAAATCTTCACGGGTCCACCACAATGCACACTTTAAACTCAAATGTATCTTGGCTTGAAATATATAAGGTCCGATTTGTTTGAATAAAGACAAAGTAAATATCTAGCTAAGTAAGGATAAGAATTTATGGATGAACAACTTCTTTATTACAATTAAGAGCGACGTTTCGGTGTAGGTTCTAAGACCGTTATCAAGCAAGTGATTTACAGAGTGTGTTACTTACTTACTTACTTACTTTGGAGATTTAACGTGCGCTTTCCGACTGATGCGTATTTCGCACACGGGCCCGGCCAGGCCATTTAATGTGTTTCCGAAAGGGGCGAAGGTGGTCTGTGCAACCCAAGAGGGGGGTTTTAGGGGTTGCTTATATAGAAATTGGGAATTTTGAGATTTGGAATAGATGCCGTTGGGATTGGGGAGGAGAACTAAGGGAGCTGGGTATGGTGGATGTTTGTTTGTTTATGTGATTTTGATTTGGTAGGTTATTGTGTTTTTAGATGCGTTTTATTAGTTCCGTTTTTATTAAGAATACGCCTAAGGCCTTGAAGTTTTCTAGTTTATTTTGTGGGTTTAGTATTGCTTCTAGAGTTAGAGCCTTGTTTAGATTGAGGGTGGTTTGTAATGCGGTTCGATGTGTTAGGTAGTGTGTGCAGTGGATGAGTGCGTGTTCTGGGGTTTCTGGTTGTTTGCAGTGTGGGCAGTTACCTGTAGTGTGTTTTTTAAATTTTTTCAGGTGGTTATTTAGGTTGGTGTGTCCTGTTTGGAGTTTAGTGATTACTCTGTCGATTTTTTTTGATGGATGGAGAATTTTGGGTTTGGTTAGTGGTTTGCTGAGCACTTTTTTGATTTGGCTATTTGAGTTTAGATATAGGTTATGCCATTTTTTTGTGAGTTTTTGCTTGTTTACACTTTTAATTTCTGATTTTGAGATGGGTAAGTTTAAGCTTATTTCTGGGATTTTGAGGGATAGTTTAGCTGCTTTATCGGCGTTTTCGTTACCGTATATTCCTACGTGGGCGGGTATCCACAAGAAGGTTATTTGTTTGCCTGCCTTAGTTAGGTCGTTGGAGCTTTTAATTATTTGATTTATTAATTTAGGTCGGTTTTTGGTATTTTTGTTTTGGAGGGCTTGCAGTCCACTTAGGGAGTCGGTAAGTATTAGGATATTTTTGTGTTTTTTGGATTCTTGATTATGGAGGGCTGAGGCCATGCCCATTAGTTCTGCCGTGAATATTGATTGGTTGTTTGGGAGTCGGAAGGATCGTGTGGTATTAGTTGGTTGTGTGGTATGGACTCCGAAACCTGTGTGTTTGGAGGTCGGATCTGAAGATCCGTCCGTGTAAATGTGACACCAATTTGGCCAATTTTCGTGTATGTATGCTAGTGTGGTAGTTTTAGCTATGT